GTAGTTGGTACTATCTACCCCGGTACATTAACCTTGTCGATGAGGGAATACGTAACATGAACAAGGCCATCACGCTCTATGTCATTGGTAGCATCTTCTTCATCATCAGCAGCTTGGCAATATCTCCAGGGGCTCACCGTTCATTAAAGCTTACATCGGAGCGCAGAAACGAGTTGGGACATAAGGTCTAATTTGGTCTCATATACAAAATACTTAATGTTCATAGCTTAACCTAGATTCATATATATGGCAATTGTAAGACATCGAAGTTTCTACATGAACTGACGCAGATAGATATTTAAGAATTATTGTGACGTCGATATCAAATATGTAGAGTGGCCACATGACGGATATTTGAGGTTGACGTGATGGCTTTGGGGCAGATGATGCTAGCAGCTTCGCGGACAGCTCAGTAATCAAGGCGAAGTGTTGTCATATCTGTTTAACTGATCTGGCCAACTTTGACATTACAATTATTATTGAATAATTATCACCTTACTGAGGAAATTGAAATTTCTTACTGGTTTGAGTTAATGTCAAGTTCTAGCACAAGCCATATATTATATTGACAGAAGCATAAATAAATACGGTACAGTGATTAACTGAGGGCTTATGTGAGTGGTTTATCAGGTCGCGATTGTATACTAGCAAGTAAGCTTAACTTATTCAAAATGGCTCACAAATTGGATAAGTCGAATACCTCGCTCTCTTGATAACTTGAACATATCAATAACGGGTCGTATCCTAGCTTTCTGGAATAAGAATGTAAATCCGTCCCTCTTTTCCAATGCGATTGTCAATAACAGCACTCTTACTGATCAATGGTGTCAAACGACATCTGTATTGATGAATTTGTCGTCGTGATTGGTTCGCAGTTTTAAGAAATGAAGGCAAACTGAAATGATTTGGTTTTATTATACAACGAAATATCTTAATTTGCATCGGATTGAACGCCAATATTATTCTTAAGGTAAGCTCTGGGATTGACGTAATAATTTGTTAGCAAAGAAAGGATTTCAAATGATTTTTTCCCTCACACAGACACAAGAGCTGATCAATTCTTGAGATATAAGAAAGGACGAGATCACGGGTATTTGAAGCAGATAGAATATCATGACGCGTGAAAAGGTGTTCATGAATGTCGCTCAAGAGTTTAACGCATGTGAAGTAGGAACACTTTATGAAAGACGTGGCAATCATTACAAGAGAGCTAGGTGTAAAATATTTTTATCGGAAGCCCGTATCGATTAAACACTTAACTCATCGACTAGAACTATACCGAGAGGCGGTGACAATGAGGACTACCTATGACTAAAATAAGCGGTGAAACGATTATAATTGGCACTGGCACTTCACTCAATTGCGGAAACGTATTTCATTGCCGAGTAAACAAATGTATCACACATCAGACAGACTCAAAATCTTGTGGAATCCGTAAGGATTTACGTAGAAAGTAATTTTTCGAGCAAACGAATCTTTTGAACACGAACCTTTTAGGTGCTCAGACTTTGATAAGGGTAAATAAAGTATTACAGCAGATACAGCTCCATCAAATGACGTTGCTGACTGACGTACGAAAAAACGAAGAGACACAGCCGCGCACCGCATCGAGCTCTTGTTAATATCTTTTCTTAAAATCAATATCCAATTAGCGACTTTCCTATATCAACAAGGATAGGCCCATTGTGAGCATGTCCTTTCTCATTGGATGAGAATTTGTATCATCGCGAATTATATATAATTGAAGCGTAAAATATGACCGATGAGAGATCACTGTATGATCAATTTTCCGATCTAATTGGGCATCCCACGCACGTAAAGCTACGAAATGGCACATACACGTATGGCATTCTTTATTGTATTGATCCTGAGACTGACCACGTGGCATTGTTGTGTCCGTCGGGACACGAAAGCATGAGCTACAACATGAACGTTGTGTTTGCACACAATATTTACGACATCGAAAAGTGGGGACATGAAGATATGAATATTTCAACACTGGCAGCATTGCAGCAGAAGCTCAAGGAAGGTAACGAGAATGTTGACAAATAAGATGTTAGTATAAGCTAAGCTAGGTTTGCTTAGGTCTTAATTCAATTGAATGATCTGGTCGATTTTATTAGCTAGGGACTTGAATTTGTTGTGTATTTCGCAAAACTTCCTGACAACAAATGCACGTTATTATGTATTCGGGGCGTCGCAACAGCGGGCACGCCATTCGTCACCACGCGATAAAGTGTGTAGCTTCTGATCCAGAAACCTACTTATAGCCATCTGGTTGGCTATAAGTAGCAAGTTGGTAGTACCGATGTTTGTAGCTTCTCACAGTTTATCAATCTCTACATGCCAGAATGATCAGAAAAGAAAGTTACTTCACTCATTTCGCCTGCATCCTACAGTATGTGTAAGTTCTCATTACGCAAAGGATAGTGGAGCCGGAGAGGTCGTCAAGTTGACGTGTAAAGTTGTCATGGTCGTGTGCAAGCTCACAACATCGACGTCATCATCGTCAAGCATGCATGCGGTTTGCGCACGTTGGTTGTCTAAAGCCACACAAAGCAATTTTCCTTGCTATTTCGCGACAAGGCGCTGATCCTTTGACAAAAACTGATGCGACGTGAGTGTGATATAAAATTTGCCCACAAGATTGGCTGTTTCTACTTTCGATATAAGCTTTGAATCATAAGCGTTACAGCTTGGTATAAGTTGTTTTGTGCAGTTGCGTGTGAGAAATCCATCGCAAAAACGCACTGTGAGTATACAGCACTCTATAATTGAAATGAGCAATTTCAAATTTCATGGAAATCAAACGTACTATATAGCAGTACATTATCGCTGTCTCTGAGGGTGTCTAGGGGAACTCTCAATGCCTTTTTAGGGGTAGGAAGAGCGGATGATCAAACATAAACGATCCGCTCCGTCCGCTAAACCTCAGCTGAGGTTATTTAATAGGTGTTCAATCTCGAAGTTGCCGTGTGAGTGGTTCCAGCTCGTGGGCGAAGATGATAACGCTGTGACGTCGGCGACTTCTGTTGTCGTGAATGTTGAGGATGTGGATACGTTGCGGGATGCGATGAAGGTCAAGTGTCCGAGCAATCTCGCGAACGTTGTTGCGTCCGACCTAAGGTGGTCGCCTTTTTTTGTCGGTACAATACCGGTTTTACGCAGTCATGAATTCAGATTTTTTGGTCCAATCCGATCATGAATTCATGGTATCTCATGCCATAGTCCGTGGTCAGTAAATGTAAGTTTGGCCACCGAGGATGTTGTGACACCACTTTTTTTATGATTTGGTTGTGCCATTCATATTTTTTAACTCATGAGCTCGGCACTACTCGCTGACTACGTTCTTGAACTCATGAACCAGAAGACCTGAGCAGCCTTGTGCTAGTCCGCTTCTCGCAATGTTGTCCAGAGACTCCTCCACATCGGTCAAACGATCTTTGATGACTTTCTTGCGGTCAAGCTCCTTCGCGGAGGGCATTGACTGTTTCTTGGTGGATACCAACAAGACATCCATCCTTGACGAGAAGTGCTGCACCAGAATCTCCAGCGTAGGTTTCACAATTATACGCGATGT